ACGGGAGGTAAGAAGGCCCATCTCCGAGTCTCTCCTCTGTATGAATTCCCTCTCCAGCTGACCTTCATCAGGGCTGACTCATTTTCCACTGGGCCCCCAGCCACCCAGCTCTCCCCTGATGGGCCAGACGTGGAGGGACTGGCAGCACGAGGCTCATGAATCTAGAGGCCTGAGGTCAGAGAGAGAGACAGCTGAGCCTCCCCTGGATTGACACTCGCGGTGGGGGCTCCCTTCCCCGATGAGGAGGTGAACATGAGATATATTTCAGCAACCCCCAACCCCACGTCCCTCCACTTTCTCAAGCAGGGCCGATGCAGGGACAGTGGGACAGATCCAAACCATGCCACCCTCCCTCCCTCTCTCTGGCTCACCCCTCAGCCCTATGCCTCCCAAAGGGTGAACTGGAAAGGACAGCACTTTGTAGTGTCTTCCCTCCAGCCCCTCCTCACCAGCCCTACTCTGGGATCAATACCTAATGCTGAATTTCAGATCTTATCTGAGTTTTGCAAGGATAAAGCAACAAACTTTCCCCTAGTGATTAAATCCTTTGATGATCAGCCCAATATTTTTCAGACCACCTCTAACAGCTTTTAGAGAGCAAATGAAATGACTCTGAGAAAATTGGAAAGCCACCTTCTTTCTCTCCCCTTGGGCACAAAGAATCTCATGGAAGGCCCCAGCTTTTATCCGCCACTCAGCTCCTACCTGGCTGCAGGAACCTGCTAAGTGGCCATCCAAAACTCTACATGCCTCGGTTTCTCCGTCTGAAATGGAGGTGCATCACAGTCCAGCAGGAAGGGTAGGTGGAGAAGCACCAATAAGAAGGAGGTGCTCACGAGTTAAAATCACCAAATCCCCTGCTGTAAACCACGGCCTTGCAGTGTGCTTGCACAGCAGCTGAGAGCAAGAGCTCTGGGTCAAACAGGCTGGGTTTACATCCATCTAGGGATTCTGGGCAGCTGGGCTCACCTCTGACCTTCATAAAGATTCAACAGTATGTGTAGGCGCCGTGCTAAGCACGGGGTATAGAATTGTTCGGGAAGCACCGGCTGTTTCTACCAAGAATGTTAACATGGCCGGGGTAACACAGAACCCACTGGACCAACCACAGATTCCCCAGATCCCCCCCTTCAGGATCTGCTGGGAGTGCTCTTGGAGGATGGCCCCCAGCTGTCTGTTCCCTCCAGGATGTCCTCAGGGCAAGCCCAAGGTCACACGTGCTTCCCAGGATGGGCCGCATCCTGTGAGGGATCAACATCAGGTGTAAGGTCAGCCCTTTCACCCCGCTGGGGCCAGCCCTAGCTTCAGAATTCCCAGGGCCTCACAGATCAGCTTCTCCCTCTGCTCGCTGCCCCCTGAGGGCACCCCTGCGTGCTCATCTTCATCTCAGGGGACCCAAAGACAACCCCTCACCTCCCTCTCCTAGCTAAAAAAACAAAAATGAAAAAGGACTTAATCTTGGACACTCCCTCAGTTGAAAGGCTGAAAGCCAGAAACATACTTCAGGTCCTGGAGCTCATCAACCCCAGCTCCCCCATTTTGCAGAGGACGAACCTGAGGTGTCAGAGAGGTTAGGAAATGTGCCCCAGTCAGGTATCAAGGGGACAGTGGGAGCTTAGAGGTCTGCTCTAAGCGGAGAGTGGGGGAAGACTCCACACCTCTGTGTGGGTCCCATGCTGAACGACCTTCTTCTTGCTTCCACGGGGGAGGACGTACATCCTGGGAGGGCTCATTGTCTCCTGTTCCCCTGGATTCTTTCCCAGGGCGGGAGTGAGGTCCAAGTACAGACGTAAGAGGGAAAGAAATACAGGCTGTCGTTTCTGCGAACAGATATAACTGAGGGCCACGCTGTCCCTACAGGACTAACGGCGGGGGGTGGGGGGCAGGGGCAGGGCGTAGCCACTGTGGGGCGAGGAGTGGATGCTCAGCCCTGACCTCTGGCTCACGGTGGCTAGAGAAGTCGGAGTTAGGCGCGTGGGTGCTGGGCAAGCACCGTCGCGGCACACGGGGTTAACGGTGTGCACCTCTTTAAAAAGAAAGCTGGTGGCTCTGCCAGCCTGAGAGGTGTCTTTAACTTCTGCTACTGCAGCACTTTCTTCCTGATAAGATAATGGGAAACGGGAAGCTTAAGGAGGTGAAGGTAAGGTTGGGGCAAGGTGGCTGCCGGGAGGATTTTCTTTTCTTGTGCTTATCACCTGATTCCAAATGCACATTCCATCAGGCCAGGGATGGGGGCCCCACTGTTCCATATGGAGGATTTGTGCTTCTGTGGTGACATGGTCCTTTTTTTTTTTTTTTTTAAATTCTTTCCCCTCCTAAATGCTCTGAACCACTTAAGCATTACCCCAGCATTAGCACCCAGTTCAAAGAGAAACTCTCAGCTATTTAGAGGGGCTGGAAAATGGGGTGGGCGGGGGCAAAGCTCCGACCTACACAGAAAGAACACCGGGGAGCAGGTTTCTGTACAGGAGGAAAGGGGGAGGAGGATGTCAGGGCCTCCTTGTTGAAACTTCCTGGCACACCTTCCCTCCTGCCTTCTCCCCACCCCCACCCCCGGGCTACACCCCCTCAGGCCAGCTCCCCGGGCTCAGAAGGGCTCCACTCTGAGTTCAATGCTCTGTTGTCACCTTGAAATTCCTAATGATTTTTTACTAAGAGGCCCCATTTTTCCCCTTGTTCTGGTTCCACAAATTATTCAAGTCCTACATCCGCGACAGGAATCTTACCCTCTGGCAGGGCAGGAGGGTGCTTGGGCAGGCCCTGCCTTGACTGGGGGCAGGACGGAGCCTGCGCCCGGGGCTGTGCCCAGCCTCCTTCCTGCCAGCGCCCCCCAGAAGTCCTGACTCGGGCGAGCGAGCAGTGCCATCCTTGGAGCCACTCTTGAGCACAGGGCTGTAAAAGGGACCTCCCTCCACCTCACGACAGGAGTCACAGAGGGACCTCACCCCATCACCACACCCAGCGCCCTGGAGAAAGGGAAGAGGCACCACCCATAGCAGGAAGCCTTTGGGTTAGAAATAAGGGAGAACCTTCCCTGGCCCTCTCCTCTGCGGCTATGCCCGGAGGGCCCAACACCCTCAGTGTGAACCTGCCTGTGTCTGTTACTAGTTGAATAATGTGACACGGAAAGTCACCGGCCCTCTCAGGCCCCCCAGATGCCATGCCTACTTCTAGGCATGGCTGTGAGGGCTGCACGAGATGATTTTTCATCCCCTCCAAAACAGGGCCTGATCTGGAGCAGATCAGAAATCCCTTTATTGGTACATATTCAAAAAAAGAGTGATAAGGCTACACTGCCTAGAAGCCACTCAGGACTCTTCCAGGAGCATGAATTCTAGCACGGAACACCAATGCCACACTTAGCTGGGCCTCGCCCACCCTGAAAACAAATGGATGAGAATGCTTTTCTTAACAAGCCCGTCCCCACGTGGAGACCACAGAGAAGGAGCAGAATTTGAAATCAGCAGTCCTAGGGATGAGCCCCTGCTCTGACCTGGGGTGTGTCCCATACCCCCTCTGAGCTTCGGTCACCTCAGATGATGACAGTGAAGACAATAATGATAAGAGCTAAACTAGGCACCACTATCCCCATTTCACAGATGAATAAACTGAGATCAACAAGATAAACAAGTTAAGTGATTCTCCCAAAGTCACAGGGCTGCTGTGAAGGTCAGATCAGACCATGCACAGGAAAGCAGTGCTCGGACACCCCCCCCCCCAACACACACCCTCTAAGGATGATGGCAGAGAATAATCACAAATTGCCCCTCTCCGCACCCTGTTCCCCTCCCGCTCTCTCGGCTCTCAGGATGCTGAGCAACGCAGAGGACAAAGCAATCATTCCACACCCGTAAGCTCTTCTTTTCTTCCCTCTCCTTCCCCTACTCCTCACCCTCCACCCCTCCCCATCCCTTCCCAACATATCCCAACATATCCCAACATCCATGCCCCAGTTTTCCACCCTCCCCTCTGAGGATGCTGTGGATGGACACCCGGGAAGCCGGACTGCCAGGCACACTCAGGACAGCCCCCCCCCCCCCCCCCCCCCCCCGCCGCCCCAACCCTCGTCCTCCCTTTCACTCAGCCTGCCTGCTCCCAACAGGAGAGGCATACAGTCAGTGCTTCTAATCACAGGTGACAGCAAGAATGTAAACAACACAAGAAACATCTAAATGCAATCCAAGTGGCAAGGAACCACCGCTCCCTCTGGCTCCTCTCAAGAATGCTGCTTCCTGCCACCTCCCTTCCGAATCGCGGCTCCTTAGCGCCCTGTTCATAGGAGCCCCAGAAACCAGGAGCTTCCGGAGAACAGGAGATGGAACGCCAAGCCATAACCTTGGACTCTACTTCCTCTAGGAGGATTTTCTAGATTCGTCCAATTTTCTGCTTAAAGCAGTAATTTCAACGTGTTCCTCTCTTGGGGAGGGGAGGTATGGAGGTCAGAAACCCACCCCTCTGACAATCTGTTCAAAGCTAGGAACGTCTCCCAAGAAAACGCAAACATAAACAGTTTGTGTCATTTCAGGGGTTCACAGACCCCCAAGTTGAGACCTGTTTTCTAAAACACGGACAGGACAGGAAGGACACAGGAGAAAAAATGAGTAAGTGTGGAGCCCTCTCAACATTCCAGACGTGCAAATGGGCGCTGCCGCGTCTGCAATCCCCGGACACGTTGAATAGACCTCCAACGAGGGTATTTTTTTTCTTTTCTGACTCGTCAGACTGACAGTATACTTGCAAACCACCTCCTTCAATGCAAATTGAAAGCTCAGCCGAGTAATTGCTATGAATAATTTCCACTTGGATTCCTTAGTGCTTGGGTCTACCGAAGACTAAGAAAGCCCGGATCAGAAAGGGATGTCGGAACACGGGTTGGGTGTGGCTGATTTTTAACTGTCCAGGATCTGGACTCTTCGTGCTGTGGTGGCCCTCATGAATACAGATGTTCAACAGCTGGGCAACTAACAGAAGGGGCAAACTTCTTCGGTTGGGGATCGTACCTCTGTGCCTGTTAGTCGTCTTGTCAAACATCAGCATTGCGTCCTCCACCTGCAAAAGAAACAGAAGGGAGTCTGCTTTAGGAATTTTGACAAAACATATGAAATGCTATATGCTGCTGGGGGAGGGTGGTTTCCACTATCAAAGTCATAGGTGCTCATTAAAATTTATTTGAAAACACAAAAAATTAGAAAGAAAAATCACGTCTTTCCATCTTCCCGCCCAGAACAACCACAGTTAACATCTGATGTATTTCCCTTTAGGAAACATACACTGTATGCCTATTTTAATATAGTTTAAATCATACTGTAATGGAATTTTCCCCTTGTTCTTTTTTTAATATAATATTACAATATTGCAAATAATTCCCAGATGACTACGTCGTGAATATTATCTGGTTTTCTTCCCAATTTTTTTATTATGGTAAAATGCACATTAATATAAAAATTTCCATCTTCACCATTCTTAAGTGTAGAGTTCGGCGGTACTGAGTACATTTGTAATGTTGAACTACCATCCCCACCCATCCATGTCTGGAACTCTTTTCATCTTGTAAAACTGAAACTCTACCCCATCAAATAATAACCCCACCCATCCCCTTAGTACCCCCCAGCCCCTGGCAACCACCATCCTATCGGCTGTCTCTATGATTGTGACTGAGGTCCCCCCATCTCCAGGGCAGACATTCCAAGACCCCCAGTGGTTGCCTGAAACTTCGGAGAGTACTCAACCCAATATATACCATGTTTCTTCTTGGACATACATACCTATGATAAAGTTTAATTTATACATTAGGCACGGTAGAAGATTTAGCAATAGTAACAAATAATGAAATAGAACAATTACAACAATAAACTACAATACAAGTTATGTGAATGTGGTCTTTCTCTCTCAAAATATCTCATTGTAAAGTTACTGACAAAGAGAGATGATAAGATCCCTACATGATGAGAGGAAACGAGGTGAATGACGTAGGCAAGTGACATAGCCTTCGGCTGCTATGGATCATCTGATAATCCATCAGAAGGAGGATCACTTGCATTGGGACCGCAGATGACTGTGGGTAACTGAAGCCATGAATAAGGGGGGGCTATGGTATTTCATACAAATAGACTCACACAGTATTGGTCTTTTTGTGACTGGCTTATTCCACTTATCATAATGTCCTCAAGACTCATCCATATTCCACTGCACGTATATACTACATTTTGCTTATTCAGTGATCCATCGATGGATACTCGGTTTTAGCTATTGTGAATAAACATGAATGTACACATATCTCCTTGTGTCCCTGTTTTCAATTTTTTTTGTGTATACACCCAGAAATGAAATTGCTAGATCATATGGTAACTTTACTTTTAATTTTTGGAGGAACTGACATCCTGTTTTCCACAGTGGCTGTACCATTTTACATTCCCACCAAGAGTGCACAAAGGTTCCAATTTTTCCACATCCTGGCTAACACCTGTTATTTTCTGGGTTTTTTTTTTATAGTAGTTATCCTAATGGGTGTGAGCTATTGTGAATACTATCTTGACTGCAGCATAATATTTCATGGAGTGAGAAACCATTGCTTACTCAGTTATCCTTCTGTGGATATTTAAACTTTTTCCAGTTGTATACATAATGGAAATTTAATGCCTTGATTGCTATGGGCTGAACTGTGCCCCCTCCAAACTTGGATGTTGGAATCTTAACCCCCAGTATCTGAGAATGTGATTGTATTTGGAGATAGGATCTTTAAAGAGGTTACTGAGTTAGAATGAGGTCATTAGAGTGGGCCCTGATCCAGTACTGACTGGGGTCCTCATACACAGAGGGAATCTGGATCTGGTCAGGTATAGAGAGAAGACCAGTGAGGACACACAGGGAGAAGGTGGCTGTCTGCAAACCAAGGAGAGAGGGTTCAGAAGAAACCAACCCTGCCGATCTTGGACTTCCAGGGTCCACAAGAGTGAGCAAATAAATTTTTGTTGTTTGACCATCCAGTCTGTGGTACTCGGTTATGGCTGCCCCAGCAGACTAATACATTCATGCTAGGACCTTTACAAACAAAGAGTAGAAAGCACCAAAGCTATCCTCTGTCTCTCTTCCTCTTCCTCCCTCAGTCTTTCTAGGCATCCTGCAATCCTTCTGGGTATTTCTAGCGATAAGATTTCAGGATCCACACTCAATTTCCATGCAGATCTCAAGAAAGTCACCCTCACTAAACCAGATTTGGCTTTGAATTCCATTTCTTGTACTTACGATCCAATTCTTTATTCTTTGACAAAATACCAAAATACCCATCTATAGTGCAGGTATTGTCCTAGCCAATCAGCTACTCACCTGGGGAGGGTACTCAGTTTGGCCAGGTGAGCAGCCTGGTCTCTTCATTCATTTTGTGCCCAAGATTGGCAGTAAAACTACAACTCAACCCATGCGGTCCTGGACAAAGCCGCTAGCCAAAGGGCTCTGAGCTTGGAGCAATTTCACTGTGTGTGTGTGTGTGTGTGTGTGTGTGTGTGTGTGTGTGTGTGGTTGGGAGGGACTGAGCACTGTTCATTGGAGCTCAAAGGCTCACAAATGAGTTTGGGGGCCTGTGCTAAGCCAGCTGAGAAAGGGAATCATAGGCTATTCATCCTTCACTCCTTCCAGACTACAATCTCTGATGGAGGGGAAGACACTGGCCAAAGCAATAAAACCAGGTTTAAAATGCTGCCTCCAGACAAATCAAATCTATTTTTCTAGATGCTATCAAATAGAACAGGGGGAAAAGCAATGTCAAGGTAAGAATGGAAGAGGGGCAGGCAAGCCAGACACAAACCTCACAAACCTCGCAAACCTCGAAGGCACTGCCCTAGCTTAAAAATCCCTTCAGGAGTCAGGGCCCCCCTTGGTTGCTAAGCAACCGAGTCTGAACAAACGGGCTCCTGGGGCCTTCCCCTTCTGGTCCCCATTTCTAAAGTCAGTGACTGGGAGGAAAATGGCCTTGCACGGTGACTGCCTCGCCAGCAGGGAGCTCCTCTCTCTCGGCCGGGTACCAGGGTGGAGATGGGGTGCCTTCACCAGACCCCTCTGCAGCCAGGCAGGCTCCATAGTCCTCCCCAGGCACCTGCGGGGGCCACACACACCACAGCCCTCTGCCTCGGCGCACTACTCAAGCAAAACCATCAGAAGATCAACTGGTTTGTTTGCACACAGAGCAGTCACACTCGAACATATGGTACTACAGACTCAGACCCCAGGGCCTTGATAAGAATTCCAACGCCTGTGGTGCGGGTGGGTGGGTGTCGCGCAGGTAAACGTGACATCTGTTTCACACCCATCTCCACATTTTCTAAGACGTTTGCCAAGTGCTTATTTGGAGCTAAAAGTGCCTAACAGTAAGGAAAACAGCCTCCCTTCTGTGTTGGCCATGTTTTGGTACTAAACTCAGATCCCCTTAGGAAATAAATATTTTTAATTAAAAAAAAGTATTTTCAATGCCCCCCCACCCCCACCCCTCAACAGGGTGTAATTGGCTCCCTCTTTCCCTTCCAAAGTTTGAATATTTTCTGCCGCTACCCTCCCAACATTCACTCCACCCTGGGGAGCGACAGGGAGGTTCTGTGTATGTTTTTTAGGGCAACCATTGTCGTAAAGAATAGAGCTCCTTCCTCTACAGTCCGCTCGCACAATGGGACTCACAGAGACCTCCTGAATAGATAAAATGTCAGGGCAAAAGAAAAATTCTATTAACACTTTACAAAATAAAACATCTGAGAAATAGCTAGAGAGGAAAGAGAAAGAAAGAAAAAATCAATATGGATAAGACCCGGTGCTGGGGGGCGGTGGTGGGGAAAAACTTTTCAGCGATTGCAAAACACTTATTAATTCAGAGAAGCCATCAATGCAATGGAAATCTGGCAGAACAGCAAGAGCTGAAACTGGGAGAATCTGAATATACAAAGACTGAATAGAATGAAAAACACGGCCTCACATACGGGGCTGTTTCTCACGGTTCTGTGTGAATCAAACAGAAGCAGCTTGTGTGAGTCTGCAGCACGGGGGAATGAGGAGCACAGTCAAGGTAACCCGTATTCAACCCCAGTGAGAGCAGACTGATGACTGTGTCTCTGTCTGTCCGTCCGTCTCTCTCTCTCTCACACACACGCACACACGCGTGTGCACACACACACACACAGGTGCATACACACGAAACCCAGGTAGATGAGTTGGCTGTGAGGAGTCATCAACTTCGATGTGAACCCCAGACCTCATTTGGGGGTGCCAGAACACAAAGAGTTGGGGGCTGGACACAGGCATTTTTCTGACCTCAAGTAGAAAACACCACTAACTCTTGTTAGGTGTCTCCTCAAGACTAGCACTGGTATTTATTTTGTGTTGACAGTGCCCTTACCAGGCTTACATATTTCTTTGTACCAGAGGTGGGGCCCCGTGGGCCTAGTGGTCTTGGGGCAGGGGTGTCCCCGGAGGGATCGAGAAGGAGAGGAGATATCTGAACCTCAGCATACTTTGCCTCACACCCTGGCACATGCTTGGTCTGTTTTGAGAGAAGGAGCTCACTCCAACCTTGAGACGTACCTTTTAATAACTTAGGGTGGGTTCAAGTGCCGCCTGGCATCTTAGTGGTATATCTTTGTGGACAAAAAGGCAAGGTAAAGTAGCTTTTAAATAAGATGGCTGGGGATGCCTGCCTGTTCGTCTAAGCACCAGCAAGTTCTGAACATGTATTTCTGCCTATCTCTAGGTTCAGACCACACCATAACCTCCTCAGAGGCGTGTATCACGCACACAACGTATCTGAGAGTCACGAAGTTATGCCATTGGCCATGGGGGTAGGGGCAGGGCTCCTCAGACTTCCTCCACGTCAGGACCGCCTGGCTTGTTATGACACAGGTCCCTGAGACCTCACCCCTGGAGTGTCTGATGCTATGGCACTTGCATTTCCAAAGAGCTCCTGGGGGAATACTTATGCAGTGGCCAGCCTGGGGTCCCCACTTTCTATGAGAAATAAGAACAAAGGTTAAACACACTGGACACAGCTGCTTCTTGCTCTTTGCACACGT